ACTTCACATAGTACTGTACTTCAGAATGAAAAGAATTTGACACAGTAATGTAGAGAAAGCTTCTTTTCATTTGATATTAGACCAAAATTTAAAATCACAGGGGGAAGACTGGCCAAAGGAAATGTTAGCTAGGATATCTAAATTGGTTCTGTGTTTTAACTATAATGGAAAAATTCAAAAGCTGCAGGCCCATTAATTAAATTTTGTATCAAGTAAAACAATTCTTAACCTATATAAAATATGGAAAGGGAGCATCTTTCTATTTACTGGCTTATTAGAATGTGTATTTCCTTGAAGTCAATCTCCTCTTGATGTTATCACACATCCATATGGTTTTCTTTGTAGCAAAACAGAAGTGGTTTGCTACTGACATCTTTTTGGATTTTTCTCTAGCCTAGCTTCCAGCCCTGGTATTCTCTGGGGCTCTCCACTAACCTTCAGAGCCAGACAAGATCAGCCATGTACTACCACTACCTGAGATATGCTTGCGTGAATCTGCACCTAAACATTTACAGACAAGAGCAATGCAGTTCTAAGAAACACTCCAGCGTTTGTGCTCTAGAGGAAGCACAAATTCTTTCTCTAGCAGTCCCAACTCTATGGCTCCTTAACTCTTCAATGTTCCAATCTTTCCATGAAGCTTCCAATCTCAGTTCTCATACTCCTTGCTCATTCCCTTTTAGTTCTGTGCCTTTTCATCTCCTACCCTGCCTGCCTTAACTGAGGGATCCCTCTCAGTTAAGTTACCTTACTTGCCCCACTTACTTATTTGTATAATGGCTGGAGGAAAAATCAATCTCAGTCAAAATGATTGTTTTGCGTAAGACTTTTCTTGCTGCTAGCTTTGCTTCCTGAGCTGGAATGTGCTGCAGCATCATCGTCATCATCGTATTAGTACCAGGGGCTTTATTGTTATAAACACAATACAAGATGACAGTGTTTGCTCACAGCTATGGTGTATGTAAGGACTTTACATTTTTCTTATGTGTGATAAAAAACAAATGCTGTCAAAAACTGTTCCTTCTTAAAAGTGGCATAAGGTTACCTGTAAAAAGTGATCCCTAGGAGCGGAGTTGATATACACAGTATAGAGGACACACACCCGTATATACTTACATATGCCCATATTGATTTATGTATTCTATTTATACTGCTGGAATCACTGGAAGATGGAGAGCTGTGACAGCCTTCTCTAGGCCATAAAATATGAGGCAATAAAAAAGATGATGCCCCTAAATAGTTTATGTTTTAAAAAGCAAATCACAGAGAGAAACCTGAATAATTTACAGAAATATGATTTCTTTTAACAATGCAAAATAATTGTAAACTCATTCAAGATTTATTTTAATGGGAAGCAGTATAAAATGTTTTGGATGAAATATACTCACCCACAGATATACAAACAGGTGAGTACACATACAAAGAAATCTCCTGTGTGTAAGAGGCTAGAATGACACAATTACCAAGAGATTTCTACAGTTTAATTGTACTTCCTCCAATCTTTTGATAAGTAACAATATTTTTCAGTAACGATTGTAATATAATGGCCTATGCCAAGGAGAAAGTGATGAATGTATGTTAATGACTCCTCTCAATGAGCATACATCATGGATGGAAGTAGGAAAGTTGTGTAAGTTAGTTCCATTTGTATAACACCAAAGACATTTATAATGATTATTTCTTAACTAAAAGAAAACTACTAAAACACTTCAGATTTTATAGAATTCTTTGATATATAAAAAAAATCAGGCACATTTGTTAAATATGTTTAATTTTTTTAAAAAATAACTAATGGCAAAATAAAATATATACATCACATCATACTGTGTAAACACGCAACATCACTGTACAAAAATATACATGCAAAATGAAGCAAAACTTCAACTAAAGTAGGAAATAAAATAATTCAGAAGCAAAAAAGTTATGGTTGGTATGAATATACATCCATCCAGTTTTGATTTTAATTCTTACTTTAAAAGTTTCTGTACAGTTTTACAAAAAACAAAAGAAAAACAAAAAAATAAATAGTTTACAATGGAAGCCACAAACACTAAAATTATAACCAGATGATAATTTAAGATGGATTGCTAGAACTACTTTGTATTGGATGCCGGCTTGTTTTTTTAACCAAGGCTCATTACAGACAAGAAACATATGTGACTGTCCTTGTCTAATGCACAGAAAACTGTTAATATCTCAATATCCCATATATTCATCATTTTTATTATTTAATAAAGAGCTTGCCATCTGATGTCAGGTTCTGGTCCGTGTTTGCTTGGTAGTATTTTCTTTGAAGAACACAAATTTTGCTCAGTTATTGTAGAAAAAAAGCAGTAGACAAATCTGAACATTCTATAAAATAGAAATTAATTTGAGGGGAAAAGTAATACTTTGGCATTTTGAACAACCAACCAACCAAACCAAACCAAGTCAAACCAAACTTCAATAAAACATTCCCCATTTTTAAAATCCAGTTTGTTTTTCAGGAGATGAAAATAATTTTACAATCTTTTAAAATCAGTTTGACTTTTTAACAAAGTCCTAAGATAAGCATCAAGTTCAACTAGTTTACGACATATTGATAAACCTTCACCCACCCCAACCCTGGAAATTCCAAGCACAAAGTCATAAAGCTCACCATACTATGAATGTGCTTTTTTCTATATATTTATTACAGTTACAACTGAAGTTCTCATAAATAGTTGCATAAAATGTTAAAGCCACAACATTGCACATGATATGAAATAAAATTAAAAAAATCCCAAAGTGAGTGCATTTACAGTATTATCTTCCTGCTGTTTCCTGCTTGATGGTAGAGGTTGGCCTATTTGTTACCAAACTCAGGAGTCCTTTTCTGATAGGTCCAGCCAAGGCTGACCTGAACTAAAGACCCGCACAGTGGTATACCACCATTTAGGAGGAAGGAAAAGAGGGCAAAAAATAGAGACACAGATCGAAGGCAGGTAATAGTCTATTTACAAGTAAGGCCTACATTTTATCAGAGCAAAATGGTTCATTCTATCTGTATGCAAAAATCTTGAGGTTGGATGCACTTAAAAGCAGAGTCTGATCTCAGTGCACTGCTATGCAAGATATACACAGGCGAGGCAACTGGAAAGCTCTATGTCCAAGTCAAAAATGAAAACAAAAACTAGATGGTCCAAAATGGGCACCATCCAGATGGACAGCCATTCCATTAAATCATTTTTAAGTGTCAGTGTCCATATCTTGTCTTTTAACACCAGTGCTTTGATCATAGGCATAGTTCCTTTTTCTAAAATCTTGAAAATTCTAGTTAAGGTCATTCGCAAAATTTTAATTCTCCTTTGACTTTTTTTTAAAAAAGTTTTTTTTTTGCAGAAACCTGAATAAAATACTGTTATAAGTGTAATGTTCTTCATTGCCTTTTGCAGAGTACAGTGTTGTAGTCCTCCACCCCAACGTAGTTTTACACTGCTAGTCCCAAGTACAATCGTGTGCAGATTTACTTGGAATACATTTTCACACGATGAACATGCTAGCAGCTGATTGGCTTTTGTGTCTTCTTCACCCCAAATTCAAGTCAACAGCTGATTGGCAGGAGAGCTTCATCCTCAGTTTAACTGACAGGTGAAAGAGAATGAGAGAGAACATCGAAGATAGGTTAAACTTTTGGCAAGAGCCTGCTCTGTAAAAAGTTTTTAATGCTACGAATGGGTCGAACATCGTTCTGGTGTTTTCGCCGCTCAATGAATGAAGTCAGTCTGGCTATGTCAATGCTGTCAGCACTTTTGGCACTGCCTGGCTGCAGCCATTGCTCCTGGAGGGCCAGTGCAGCAGAAGGACGCTTGGCTGGGTCATCCTGCAATAAGAAACATACAAAATCTTTGGCCTTCTGGCTTACTCCTTTGAAGTAGTCATCTGGGAAGCTAAAGTCTAAGCGACAAATGTTCAGGCAGGTTTCCTCTACACTTTCATCCAAGAAAGGAGACACGCCACTAAGGAGGACATATGTGAGCACTCCAATGCTCCACACATCTGAGGTCAGGGAGACGGGATTTCCAAGGATAATTTCAGGAGCTGCAAATTCTGGGTTCCCAAATAACTGGTGGATATAATAAGTAGTGTTGAGCTGGACTGCATCTCCAAAGTCAGCCAATCTGATTGTTGCTTTGGCCAAACTCTTATCCACCAGAATGTTTTCAGGCTGGAAGAGAAGACAAATTCACAGTTATGTTAAACCAGAACCCCAAGTTCTAACAGTCTTGCTTTGCAATTTTTTGCATCTTCTGTTTTTGAGGCAAGACAACACTAGCCAATCATGACTATTTTTAAAATGGTAAACTATAAAAAGAAAAAAAATCATGCACAGGCATAATAGAACAAAGGCATTTCAACTTACTGATCATAACATACATTTAATGAACTAAAAGAAACATTACATTTGATACAAGAGATAATTGGGAAAGACTGGTCTATAGCTTCTATAATTTAATGGTGTAGGACTGCAGCAATATGCTTGTTGAATGCTTGTTTCTAACCATGAAATGAGATTCCCTCCAGTTAAAATATTCTAAATGCTCTGAAAATGTTTTGATGTCAATGGTTCACTTTGGCTTTGGAAGAGAAAAACCTGTCACCCAGTTCACCTTTAGGTCCAAGTGTACTATTCTGCAATTGTGAAGATAATGTACAGCTTCCAGAATCTCCCGCAGGTACAGCTTGATCTTTCCTTCAGTGAGGTTTCCCCATTGTACAATGTAGTCAAGAAGGCGACCCTGGTTGGCCCTGTGAAAGCATGAGTGTTGTGTTAAAAATAAACAGCTGGCATTTCACAGGTAAAGTGGAACACACATCAGTTTCTAAAAAGTGCAATTTTTAAAACAGATCTACTCCAACTACGAGAAATTAATTTTACCAATTCAGAATTTGGAGTTCAGTAACCCTTTTTATGTATTACTTGTCATCACTTGAGAATGGAAATATGTTTCTAGCTCGTGTAGGACATATAACTCCCCCTTTTAGGTTCTTTATTTTATTACATAAAACTAATTAACAATATGTGTACAAGGTATTAAGTATGTAATATACACTCAAAATTGATAATGCTGGGGAATAAAGGTTTGGGAAGTTATGTCATAAACAGAAACATTCTGAAAAAATTGTCAAGATTGCTCAAAGGTCTTCTTCCTTTTCTCTTTGTCAGAACTCTCCCATCTAATCCAAATGTGACAAACAACACAAAAGAACAATCCATTGCTGCAAATTAAGTATACATTTCTCCCTCCATTACTATATGATTTTTCTAGCCAGCCCTCATGCCCCAAATATCCACAGATTCTTGATGCCTTGATAGATTTCAAATGCTATGGAAACAGCTAAGAACATACACATCTTTAACACAAAGTGATTGATCCAGAATCATATTAACAATCCTGCTGATTTTAGCCCAAAATATGGTGTAATATGACAAACTGAAACCATATTAGTTCATGTACTGATTCCTGAGTTGCATGTCTCATAGCAAAGTGATTGCAACCAATCCTTATTAAACAGTGAGATATGCAGTAAATATGAAATAATTTTTGTTGTATACAAACGGATCACAATATTCCCTCTTGCAATAAGCAATGTTATACAAAGTGCAGAAAAGGAGTAAGAAATATTAAGCCAGAAATGACAGCATGAGTTTTTAAAAACTATGGAGCTACATCTAGTTTACATCAACTCCATTTGCTATACTTCTTCATACATTTATATTCTTGTTTTCGGCACATCCATTCACTGCACCACACATTGCCTTTTGTTCTATAAATGTCTTCATTTCTCTCTTTTTGAGAGGACACCACCATGCAACCACAACTTTCTCCCTTTCTCTTGACTCATTCATTCTACCGTCATGTATTTGTTTTGTGAATAGAGTGTCTTTATGACCATACCACTTCAATGTATCACTTTCATACTGATCACTCTTATTTTGACTCTTCTTTACCTTCTTCTTGAGTACCCCATTCCAACTTCATTCAACATTCAAAGTGGGCAGAAACATGCTCTTATCCACAGCCATTCTTGCTTTTTTTTGACAAACATTCATTTCCCACAAGGCGATATACATTTGCACATCCATCCATTTTAGTAAACTCTCTACCAAAGTACACAAGTTCATCCATTTACTCAATTTTTCTCATTTATATATAATGAATAATTCATTCTCCCTATCAAACACAACTAGGTTGGTCTCCAATACGTTGATTTTCAAATTCATATTCCATTGCATTATATAATATAATGTTCTCTGCAAATCATTCAGTTTTTAGATAACAGAAATACCATACTAAAATATGCAGATGATACATAAGTATGCCAATGATGCACAAAAGTTCCCAAACACATTAATGTCACTTCAAGCACTTCTTATACCTGTGCCCATAAATAAATTTATAAACCAAGGGGATATCTCACATCCTTGTCTTACTCCCTACTAAATGTTAAATCATTTGCTAAACATTCTATTTTCATGCATGCTTCACTTTAATCATATTCTACTTACTGCATATAGCAATCAACCTTTTTTGCAAAAAGCATTCCATAATCAAAGTCTCTTCATTTTCTGTATCTTTATATCCCCAGATATTTCTTGCAACATTAGATGAAGCTAAAGAAACTGATTTCTGCACGTGCAGGAAACCCAGGACAAGTAAACATCTGCCTGCTTTGGGGATAGACTCTGAAGCATTTGATCTCTTTCTTGTATATGAAGAAAGTTGATCTTTTTCAGTGGCTTTTGCAGAAAATAGTAGTTTTCTGGAAAGCAATTAGTGGCAGTAATGGTTCAAGATGCTTTCCTGCCTGAAGTGAAGCCCAACTTTTGTCTCCATTCCTAAACAATGTTGAGGTCAAAAACACCTGGCCCAAATACCAAGTTTGCCTATCTATCCTTCCTCATGATGCTGCTTGAAGCAGATGTCATGGGAAGAAATGGTTTAAGGTACTTTAAAAACAAATTAAGAAAGTCACATACAAAGAATTTGAGATCCATAAAATTATTCTGTGGATATCATATTCTAATGATGGAACAGAATTATAAATGCCAAAATGTAACATGCTTTTAAAAAAAAATGTATTCAGGTGTATCTATTTTACCCTATTCAAGCTGCATTCATTAAGAAATAGTCACCCAAAAAGATTTTCATTCTATAACATTTCATTGCCTTCTTCAGAGGAATACCTCTGTCTTTGCCGAATATAGGGTGAATCTACTGCTATATGAATGCAGTTTGGGTCAAATCCTAGACTGGCAAGCCAGCATAAGAAATAACTCCTTTACTCACATTCATTCTTCACTTTATACAGATGGAGAAACAAGAGAAGAAGCCATAGATAACCATAGGCTATTGTTAAGCCATTCCCTCCCTCTATCCAGTGCTGGCCATGGTCCAATTAAATGTTAAAAAGTGAGATCTTAGAAATCATAAAAATGTCCACACACTTTCATTAGCATTTTAATAATGTTCAGTCTTACTCCACTGCATGGTTTTTTTCATCTAAACTGAGTAATTTTGTCATAAAAACCTGTTTAGTATCACTGCTATACAGACTACCATAGTTTTGTTATTATTTGCTTCTGGGTTTAAACTTAATGCTAGATAGTGGGAAACAAGAACTGGGTGTAGAGCAGTAGAGCTAACCTAAACAAAACTGCAGAAGAATGTTTATTGGTGGATCCTTCTTGAAATATGAGAAAAGCCCTGAAAAAACATCTAAAGCTACTGCTTTGCCTGTGTAGTTGGGAAAATCTATTTCTGTGCGTTAGCCATATCTCATGATTTCCCGTTTTCTTTCAAGCAATAACTGAACCAGAGGTCATATTTAAATTTTCTATTAACCCATTAATAGATCCTTGGTCCTATAACAGAATTGCTGAAAATCAGAGTACAATAAGTTTGGCAGAATTTGGATACAATGGACAAAACTTTCATTTGAACTGCAGCCTATTTAATTGTCTGTTAAAACAAGGACAGCAATAATTATGCAAATGACATAAATTGATTCAAATAACATCTTTTGCATTTAATATTCAGTTTTAACAGGCATCCCTCTAAATGGTCTGTTAAATCAAGATTTTACAATAATATATATAGTTAAACAGAGATAATATTACATAGTTTGTTTAATGTGAGTTAGCAAAGATGTGCATTTCCTAAAAAGTCAGCAACATAAATTAAATAAATGTTACATAAATTATTTTTCCCAGCTATTTTGTTTCATTAAGAATCTGGTGGGAAAAAATATTATCCAATTTTGCCATAATGTATCACCTCTTTGTGGTGGTAATTTACTAAGAGAAAGGGCTTGACTGACAAGGGTGTCTGCTGACATTTTATTCACTGCAGGGATTTGTTAACCAGGTTTGTGGTTTGTATCATGTCATCTGATCTCAAAATTACTTTCAAGGCAAATCAGAAGATCAGCATTTGCAGATATGTTAATACCTCTGAAAGAGGCACTGTTTTCTCTCAGGGTGGACTTAGGGGTGGTCATCTTACCATTTGCCATCTTTCTTTTCTTCACACTGATCGCCTGACCACATTATTGAAATCAATCAATCAATCTCTCTCTCTCTCATATCAGTCAGTCAGTCAGTCAGTCAGTCAGTCAGTCAGTCAGTCAGTCAGTCAGTCAGTCAGTCTCTCTCATCACACAATGAGAATACAAAGGGAATGTTTGAAATAAAGTATCACTGTAAAAATATTTACCTCCCCCATTCCTTGAATTCTGAAGGGAATTTGGGCATCATTGATGACTGTATTTTGAAAGTGCCTTTCCAGTGCTCTTGGAACAAACTTAGTAAAGTACAGAATCCTATGTAGTGCTATCCAAAAACATTCTGGCAGCCATTTTTGATTCAGACAAAACACCAAACCCTGAAGTTTGGTTAGAGAATTCAGAATGATGGTGGTAAAATGGCAGTGTACCTTAATAATCCAGACTTTTTAGCTTAGTGTGTCATGCAAACACAGGATTTGCTCTAGTTACTTTTATTTAGTCTAGAAAAGATAAGTGCTTCAGTCAGAAGGGCAGGAGTCATATATACTTCATTATCTAACCCCAAAGAAAGTTCAGAGACCTTTCAAATAAGGAGCTTAAATGGCACTGTCCAGTTTCTCTATATGTTTTGAACTACCACACACAAGCTGTCATAAAACTATACTCAATGTAAATTTAAAACTAACAAAGATATTAGAAAAGAGCAAAATATCTGAATTAAGTAACTAAGAGATTACACACATTTCTAACACCAAGATGTAACTGGTGGAAGTCTCAAAGGTATCAAGAAGGCCAACAAGCTGAGGGTGTTGGAGATTCTGCATAATTCCAAGTTCACGAGTGACCTGATCTCGTTTCATCAATTTCTTATTTACGAATTTAGCGGCTACTTCTCGCTTGGTTCCCTTTTGATCACATCTCTTAATGACAGAAAACCTGCCCCTAGGAAAAAAAGTGAGAAGAACAAAGTCAACAAGGAATACCTGAATTCTAGATCAATGTTCATATGTCACTACATACATACATACATACATACATATGTAAACCTGACCATGAACCATTAAGAAAAGCATGTTTTTAAATGCCACAGAAATATTTACAAATGCCAATTCAAACAAAGCAATGCTAAATGATTTTTCAATAATAGTCTGAATTAATACTAGTTATAATAAAGTAGTGCCTTGGTTTTGGCTGTCATCTAAAAATCAAGTATGTAAATTGGAAAGACACACACCCACTTTTCATTGAAGCATGGTCATTATCTTTAGACGTAAGAGCAATTAAAAAACAAAATGAAATTCTGTGAGTGTACACTTCTCTGTCTAAATATTCTCAGAATTCAGCAAATTTTCTTGAACTGTGAGAATAGTAATGACTGAATTACATGATTTCTTGCCAGTTTAATTTTAATAGAGTAAACTACTCCACAGACTTCACTAGCAGTATAAAGATTGGATCTTAGTCAATTTGCATTAACAAGTTTAAAATCAGCAGATTTGTCTCTGTCTTAGTGTTCAATCTTACAGTGCAAATGGCTCTCAAAGAATCTGATTCTGGCATATCAATGTGAATTAGTGCAAAGTTCATTTGCACATGCATAAACACACATTCCTGTCTTTCTATACACACACTCAATGTTCACAGTGGGAAGGACCAGTTGATCATACCTGCCAAGCTCAGCCACTTCACTATACAGGGAATCAAAGTTAGCCTTCCAGGTTACCATGATCCCATCGCTTCCAGGACCTGAAAAAAAAAGGGGGGGGGAACCCCTCTTTCATTAAACATGTTATATACAAAATGTGTTACTTTTATCTTGTATGGTGATATCATACATATGAACCTACCTAAAACTCGTAGACTAGCCGAAGTGGAAATTGAACCCATATCATTTGCAGCTATACATGTGTATATACCATCATCTTCTGTGGTCACACCAATGATTTTCAGATATGCTTCTCCTAAATCACTGCAAAATATCATAAACTGTAAGCATGTGAGACATTACCTACTTATGTCTAAATCTATTAATACTGTTGATACTCCATATATAAAATTTGCTCTGCTTTAACTCTAGTCCCTTTCAACTGATAATAAAGCAAAGAAATGGATTACAATTTTGTGCATGAAAACCCTGGCTGATATCAGTATAATATATTCCTTTTACTTTTAAAATTTTGTACTAATTCCTTTTTTACTTATTTTCATTCTATACAACATACAACCCACTCTTCAAGTGAGACAATACTTCTAGAGATTGAATCCTCTCTTTGCCCAAAAGAGCCTTTGGACCCCTAGAGCAAATGGTGAGACACCAATGAGGGAAAGGCTCTTCACATGTTGCCTCTGTGTCTGTCTCTCACCTGATCTGTTGTTGTTATGCTTAAGAGGCAAAGGAAACACACCTACACACGGACACACACATTCACTCTCATTTTCAAGGTGTACTTTAGACAGAAGTGAGTCTTTCAGATCCTACGTACTTCTTAATAAATCTACTTTTTATCTCAAAGATAAGATATTCTGCATCCACGATAACTATATTATGGGGGGTTTTTTGGTTTGCTTGTTTCTTTGAATGGGACCTGGTGCTGCTTGAATACTTAATATACTTTTAACAATATTCAGAGGATGTGTCTCTGAACATATGCCAACATAGATTCCTGCTTAATTCAGCTGTCCAACAAATACTCTTATCAAAATAAAAGCCAAAATGCTGGGGCACTTATAACAATCCATACATGCAGCTCTGACCATTTTGAGCTGCTGGGTCTTCTGGAATTTTGACAAGGGGTCATTTCAAATTATGAGGGGCAGGGGCAGTGGGAGGGCTCATTGCTTAATGTCTGCCACGATGGCAGCAGGAATCCGTTTCTGAAAAGGGAGAACTTGTGAGGCTGAAACATAATTTGTGTAAAACCTGAAAACAAGGCAGAGATGGAACATGAGCCTCAGAACACAAAGCCATAGAAATTCTTTTCCCAGAAAGACAATATCTTGAGGCTCAAAGAGAAATAACGTTGAGACCATTTTGCCTTGTGTCCCCACATCCCTAAACAAAAAGCTAGGATGTTACATCCACAGAGGCCCTGAGATTTGGCTGCTGCTGCTTAATGCCAGTTACATCCATAATTAATCTCTCTTCATCCACATTCAGATGGATGATATCAAAAGGGTCCAAAGTTTTCCAGCAGCCATTAAGACTGGGCTGTTTCAGTGGGCCTTTGGGGTCTGAGGGACTGTTTTTCTCTTTGGGGTAACTGGGAATATGGGTTATGGTTCTTCCTCAGTGCTCAGAGATTATATTGTTATCTTGCTGTGTTTTTGTTTTAAACCTTATTACCATTTTGGAGACTGTCAACTGGTCAGAGGCAGATATGACTGCATATAAGTCCACTAAAATCTATCAATCAGTCTTGTCCAAGGCCATGAATGTGATAAATGTGAGAATCAAGGCTCTTTTGTGTTTTAAAACACGAGACTGTCTTTAAATGTACATTTTTCTCTTCCAACCAAAATCCAATTCACAGAAAAGGAAGCCACTGACCCTGAAATATAAACAATTTGTTTAAGACCTTTCAGCTATTTCAGTGTAGTTTGATCTCTGTTGCCCATCTTCCCTTTGAATTACTTCAAGAGTGAGGGAAGACAACTAAATATGAGATCTGTTATCCTTTCGACAGCCCTTGACTTTGAAATGCTGAGCATTCTTCCAATATTAAAATTCTTTAAAAAGTGAATAATGGTCAAATAGGTAAAGAAATAAGTAAATGAGAAAAGTGCTGTTATGGAGTGGGAAGCCCAGTACCTGCATGAGATGCTGTAATGGCTGTCATTGCTCAATGTATTATGATCAGGACCTTTCCAAGTTACTGAAGCTTTGGGACGACCACAGACCTTGCATTTAAGAATGACGGTCTCTCCTGTCTCACACGTCATCTCACTTAATGGTATTATAAATTCTGGGGGAACTGAGAGAGAAGGAAATTGTTGCCGTTAAAGAGGAAAAAAAACAGTATCTTGTTGAGAACTTTATATTCATGCATTTATGGGATGATATATGTGCTACTTCTGCATCACAGCTGAAACAAAATATGATTTTAAACAGCATGTTTACTTATACATTTATACCCCACCTTTCCATTCATTGAATACTGAATATACACATCACTTTGAATGCATGTATGCCTTTCCCTCCAGAATGTTCCACAGCTTGCACACTTAACTCACAGCAGGTTGCACACTTTTCTCATCAAGAAATAATATACTTGTGGAGCCTGTACAGTGATTTGAACATAAGATTGTCCCTAGCCTTGGAAGTGCATTTCTCTAAACCAGGTAGGGAGGAAGGGGGAATGCATAAGTCTGAAGCTTTCTTCCAGCATTTTTTAAGAAAAAACACAAGTGTGAGAATAAAATCCAAAGAGGCCAAAAGATACATTCTTCAATGTCATCCTTCCTATGATTTTTTTTTCTTTTTCAAGAAGGAAGAAAATAAGTGTGAATATAGGACAATAAGGGTACCATAGGAAGCAGAATGTGTGTTAGAATCTTGACAAGCAAGACTCCATAAAATAGAAAGGCAGCATAATAAAACTAAAACTTGATCGAGAACCTTTAAGGCAATTTATGTATCAATATATGAATAATATATGAAGCAGTGAGGCTATATTTCTAGTGCAGCAGATAGAAGAGAGTCAGAAACTCTTTATCTATTGTGTTACTTTTCTTCTGATAAAAGTGTGGAAACATTTTAAAATGTTTTCCTCCAACTGCTATTTGAAGTAAGCCATTCCACTCTCCCCCTCCCCAGTCGTGCTGTGCTGCCTCGTTGTGGTGGTGGTGTTTGTGGAGGGATGAGCAAAGAATGTCGGGCATGTATGCCAAGAGTATATATTCCCAGCAAGGTCACCCAAGGCATGAAGGTCATCCCAACTACCAGCTAAAGCAAGCAGGCACCTATATTGGGCAGCAGCGAGATTGGAATATGGTGAAGGCAGGTCACTTTAGCAACAATGGCAAAGGCATCCATTCATACTGTGTGGGAGAAGCCAATCGCAAACCACTCCTGTATTTTCTAAGAAAACCACACGGATAGAAAATATAAAATATTGACAATGAATATATTGAAGTGGTGGATAGCTTCTGCCATTTAGAATCAACCATCAACAGCAAAGGAACAAGTGATCAAGAAATACACTGCAGGCTAGCACTTGGTAGAGCAGCTGTGAAGGCCTTGGAAAAGATTGACTATGCCATGATGTGTCTACACCTATAAAGATCAGAATCATGCAAGCCATGGTATTCCCTATGACACTCTATGGAAGCAAAAGTTGGGCTTTGAAGAAGCAGGATAGGAAGGGTATTGATGCTTTTGAAGCATCAGTATTGGGAAGATTCCTAAGAATACCATGAACAGCCAAGAAAAGAAACAAATGGATCATCAAACAAATCAACCCAAAGTTCTCACTGGAGGCACAAATGACCAGGCTCAAATAATCCTATTTCGGACACATTATGTGAAGGCCTAGCTCTCTGGAGAAGGCTGTAATGCTGGGAAAGGTGGAAGGAAAGAGAAGAAGAGCACAATCAGCAGCAAGGTGGACAGACTCAGTTACAGTAGTGATGAGTGTACCATTAGAAGACTTGAAAGTCTAGGTTAGAGGCAAATCATCCTGGAGAAAATCTATCTATGTGGTTGCTAAGATACAGCAGCAATGAGTGTACCATTAGAAGACTTGAAAGTCTAGGTTAGATGTGGTTGCTAAGATACAGCAATGATGAGTATACCATTAGAAGACCTGAAAGTCCAAGTTAGAGGCAAATCATCCTGGAGAAAATCTATCTATGTGGTTGCTAAGATACAGCAGCAATGAGTGTACCATTAGAAGACTTGAAAGTCTAGGTTAGATGTGGTTGCTAAGATACAGCAATGATGAGTATACCATTAGAAGACCTGAAAGTCCAAGTTAGAGGCAAATCATCCTGGAGAAAATCTATCTATGTGGTTGCTAAGATACAGCAGCAATGAGTGTACCATTAGAAGACTTGAAAGTCTAGGTTAGAGGCAAATAATCCTGGAGAAAATCTATCTATGTGGTTGCTAAGATACAGCAATGATGAGTATACCATTAGAAGACCTGAAAGTCCAAGTTAGAGGCAAATCATCCTGGAGAAAATCTATCTATGTAGTCGCTAATGATGACTTGATTGCACATGATCAATCATCAATCAATTCCACTCTACTATTTTACAAAGATATAAAAAAAAATTAGTAACAATATATTTTAGTGTAATATGGCATGATCTGCCAATACGGATTCTGTTCAGCATTGCTGAGTAATATATTGAATGTGTAAATTCCTCTTCAGGTTTTCAGCTGAGTCTATGCAAGCGGGTAAAAAAGAAGTGATGCATGTTCCACCCTCTAGCCACTGTAAAGCCCTCCATACATTCGTATAATCAACAGTATTCATCTTTCTTATTGCGTAATTTTATTTAACAAAACTGTATGTATGAGAAAGATGTGTACAAAAAGTTATATATTTAGGAAAGTGGCAGAAATGATATTACATATTATAGCTACTTGCATTTCAAAGCATATACTATATGAATATACTAGTATATACACTTACTGTATATGTGCTCAAAAAGTGTCTACGTTAGTTCTGTAAAAATCAGCTTACATTATGCAAATTGGCTGTTTCTTAGAGAAAGGTATATACAAGATGCAGACAACATTTGTATGCTATGGAAAACTGCATATCAAACAGGTGCAAACTTTTTGCATAACAATTAGTTTGGTTGTCTTTTTTTTGTTAATAGCTCTGCATATACTCTTTTTCTTTTGTTAATTAGTTTGAGATAATTTTAAAAAAAAATGTTTAGAATGGCATAGTAAATGAATACATGTGAATGACATGGAGAAAATTTTGAGTGATCTGCTCAATCTTAATTGAATACAGAAACTGGTTTAAAATGATTATATCTCTAGATAAGTAATGTTTGCAATGACATAGAAGCTATGTTTATGTCTTTCAGAGATGAATTCTTTCTCTAATAATAATTTATAAGACTGTTTGAAAAATATTTTTTCACGAAACTGCATTTTTACACTTAATCTCAACTTACCATCATAAATATAGTTGGGGTTGAGAAGCTGAAAAGGAGAAGAATAGAATTAGCAATTTTCCCAGAATGTTCTTAAGAACAAAAAAGTTAAAAATTATAGCAAGCCAAGAATCAAAAACAAAACACCCCAACCTAACACGCTAGCCTTTGGTTAGCTGTTCAAATTATGCTCTATGCACCATGAGTATCAGCACAGCCAAGTACATATACATACATACATACATACATACATAACCTGAACATATTTGTTCAGATGAAAATTTCTCCAAGGTATTGTTACAAATCCAAATATCTGTGCAGTTGTGATGTACCCTTTTACAAATTATATTTGGTTGGGTACCTCTCAGTTTATAATCTGGAGGAAAGGGGGACTGAAAGAAAAGGATTTGGGATGTATGGGTAGAAAGTGGAAAGGTAGGAAGCCTGGAGTCTTAGCCCTAGGAAACTCTCCATCTATGAGAGTAACAGGTTTATTAATATTTATTAAGTGCCACTGAAGGCAGGGATTGATAGTCCACAGATTTGATGTAATATTAAGGGAACCTGCTTACAATCCACTATAAATGCTTTAAAACAAACAAATTATTGTTTGTTTCATTAAATATTAACAAAGTCACTGTCCTGTTCTGTATCTCCCCATATTTCACATGGTCACATTAACCTATTGTATTTATTGTATTTTAATTAATATTTATTCTTATTTTACTGTAAACTGCCCAGAGTTGCTCTTGAGTGAGATGAGCGGTGACTAAATTCAAAATATAAATAAATAAATAAAACTTAGATACTGTACATATAAAAATATAGGAGAGGAAATAAAGAAAAGAAAAAGGTGTAGTGATGACAGCAAAACCAATAATACTTTAGAGATGTCCCTGGATTATTGGGATTACACCTAATTTTGAAGGAAAAAGACAAATAAAAAAGGAACCCCACAGCAGAGAAGGAATGTGGCATTGATCACCCTAAATTCACTATGCTGAACATTAAAAACCAGTGGAGGGATTTTCATGAAATCAAAAACGAAAGATGTTATTTGAAGCTATAAATTTTTAATCACTACCATAAAAAATATTCATTGTGGCTTACCAGATCAATATTATAATATTCTCTTTCCTTACCAATCTCATTTCAGGCACCCTATCTGACAGGATAAACATGAGATTTCCTTTTGTATGTTGGGAATGGAATGGTCAAAATTTTCATAATGTCAGGAAGAAATACCTTCACGGAAACCTTATTGGCAAGTCCATCTCTAGATTTACGATAACCATTTTCTAATTTGCCTTCCCTTTTGCCGTCTTTGTCTTTTTTCTCAGATTTTTTCCTTAGGCGGAGTGCTGTGTGCCAAGATGACGACTTCCTGAAACCAGAACATAATACATTGTGATTACCTTCCTGTGGATGATTCTGATTGGAAAAAAATGTTTTAAGTCAACCTGGAGGAAAAGTAACCTGGGAAGAAAAGAGAAGCTCACTTCAAATGACAGTGAGAACAAAATGATGTAATGAGATTATGAGGTACTTCTAATTACCACTTTATGAAAAATATGATTTCTAATATCATTGTACAATAGGAGCAGGCCACAAGTTACTGAACTGCAGCTATGCTTTTGGTCTTTTGGCAATTTGTGAGGTAGCTGAGGGATACAGTAGTCCCTCAGCATGCTATGATGGGCTGGGATTTTTGAGTTTTTTTTTTTTTTTAATGAGACATGTTAACTATATCCAACAATTTGAAGGTAAAAGAGAAAGATGATAACAAGTTAGAGACATAAAATATATTAATTAAATCTCAGCTAGCACTGGAGCTTTCAACTGGAGCTTTTCAAGGTGCTATAACTTCTGGCCCCTAGTTGATCCACAGTGATTAGGACAAGAAATGACTTAAGGGAGGGCGGAGCTGGCGTCGCGGCGATACGGCGGGCGATCCTGGGCTCCCAGGATCGCAGCTGATATCT